GGCTAAAGTCCTGGGGTAGGCAAGCCCCCCCCCCCCCCCATAATCACTGATCATCATCCTCTAAAACCATTTTGTGCTGGGCTGACTGCCTTCTTCCAAATGTAAAGCCTTCTTATGTAAAGCCTGCTGCACTCTAGGCCAAGAATAGTTGGTCGAAGAGGGCTGGTCAAAGAGTGGATCTTTCTCTTTGTTCCCTTTTTGAAAACTAGCCTGCCAATGGAGCAGTAGAATGGTAAAATGGCCTTTTCAATTTACTGGACGACCAGTGAAGTAGTGAAACCCCCAAATACTGGGTAAAAATTGACAAGAGTTCTGTGAATTTCCCCTTCTGATTGAAGTGACAGCAAGAAGGGTAGAACTATCTACAGCAGTCTTTCTTAACCTTGTTCTCTTTAAAATGTATAGACTTCAACTCCCAGAATTCCCCATCCAGCATGCTGGCTAGGACATTTTGGGAGTTATAGTCCACACATCTTAAAGTTAACAAGGTTGAGAAACACTGATCTACAGTCTTACTTAAGACTGGTAAACCTCTATCCAAAACAAAGCATGGCTCACAGACAAGGGCTATAAACGGAAACAATATGTCCATAGAAAGACCCATCCATAGAAAGGAATGTAATTGATACTTATTGTCCCAGTATAGGTAAGAGTGGGAAAGAAGTAAGGGAATCTACCAGTCAAGTCCAATGGTAACTGCTCTCTGAACAGAGTACATGGCCAGCATCATTGCCAAAACTGAGGAATGGATTGAAAGCCAAACAGGAATATCTTAAGCCAGCTTCATTTCCATCTGGCTCAGCACAGGAGAGAAGCAGCTTAAGGCTGCTGGGTTGATGAGCCCATTGAAGATGTACAGCTTCTATCTTTAGCAATGTTTTCTATTACATTGCGGGGAATGGATATTCAGCTTATTCACTGGACGTTTGGATCATCTTTTAAAAGCTGACAATACATGGGGAAGCCATGCTTGGCGATCTTCTAAGGCAAGCAGCCTCCATAGAACCTCATCCTTACTGCCCACCTGATGAATGTTGACCCATTTTTGTAATAGCTGAAGGAAGTTACACTAGCAATACAAAATCAGTCTCCTTCATTATCTGGGCAAAAACTGCATCAGGATACCTGCAAAATTGTGTTAGGCCTTTCAAATTTACAATAGCATTTTCAGGTGAAGAAATAGTTTAATACTTATGAAAGACAGTTGTTATCTTCAAACCGACCGTAAGAATGTAAGAAAAGCGATGCTAAATCAGACAAATGACTTTAGTCCCTTATTTTGTTTCAGAACGGCCAGCCAGTTGTCTAAAGTAAACCCAGAAGCAAGACTGCTCTACATTAGCTGTTCAGCTGGTGTTCCCTAAATGCTAGCGCTGCTCAGTCTGGATAGTTTTCTTTGGAAAGTGATAAACTCAGCTTTGATGACTGAAGAAGAAAAAGACACATACCTGACTGGAAATAATATAGCAAACAGCTACCATCTATTTTGCTCTTGTTTGCTGTGACACTTGCAGGTTGTGAAAATAGTTTCCCCCTTAAGACCAATGTGTTATTGGTTAATCTATTGCTAGATTTTGCTATTTGTGCTTTGCAGCAAATTAGACTGAATTTTGTGCAACTGTAAAATTGCAAATCAAGCCCCAGAGTTTTGGCCCATCTTTATTCATCATATTTTACTTCT